CGCCCCCCTCAGACTGTTAGGTGCCCCACGACTGTTAGTGCCGCCTACAGACTGCTGTTTAGTGCCCCTACAGACTGCTGTTAGTGCCTACATACTGCTGTTAGTGCCCCTACAGGCTGTTAAGTTGCCCCTACAGGCTGCTGGTTTACGTTCCCCCTACAGACTGCTGTTAGTGCCCCTAAGACTGCTGTTATGCCCGCCTACAAGATCGCTGTAGTGCCGTACAGGCTGTAGTGCGCCCTACAGGCTGTTAGTGCCCCTACAGACTGCTGTAGAAATAAAAAAAAAAAAACCTGCCCCTACAGAACTGCTGTTAGTGCCCCCTACAGACTGGTGTTAGGCCTCCTACAGGCTGTAGTGTTTCCTCCGTACAGGCTGCTGGTTAGTGCCGCTCTACAGGCTGGCTGTTAGTGCCCTCCTACAGGACTGCTGTTAGTGCCCCTACAGGACTGCTGTTAGTGCCCCCGTACAGATGCTGTTAGTGCCCTCTACAGGACTGCGTGTAGTGCCCCCCTACAGCATCTTTTAGTGCCGCCTTACAGGATTCTGCTGTTAGTTCCCCTACAGACTGTCTGTTAGTGCCCCTACATTGCGTTAGTGCCCTCGTACCAGGCTGTGTGCTCCTTACAGACTGTTGCTGTTAGTGCCTCCTACAGGCTGTTATGCCCTACAGGGCTGAGTTGTCCGCCGTACAGACTTGCTTTAGTTGCCCCTACAGGCTGTTGTTAGTGCCCCCTACAGATGCTGTTAGGCCCCTACAGACTGCGTTAGTGCCCCCCTACAATCTGCGTAGTGCCCCCTACAGACTTCTGTTAGTGCCCTTACAGGCTGATGTTAGTCCCTCCTACAGACGTCTGGTTTTAGTGCCTCCTATCAGGTCTGGCTGTTAGTGCCTACAGACTGCTGTTAGTGCCCGCTACAGTACTGCTGTTAGTGTCCCTACAGGCTGCTGGTTAGTGCCCCCTATCAGGACTGCTGTTTAGTGCCCCCACCAGACTGCCTGCTGTTAGTGCCCCTACAGGCTGCAGAGTTCATTACAGACACACGAACAACAAACAACACCTGTAGCTCAACATGTGAAGTTCATCCTGAAGGTGGCGCTAGAGGAAAGATCAAGTCTTGATACACTTAAAGCTCGTTCATTGTTTGTTTTTGGCTCTAGGGGGCAGCAGAGCAGCTAGTTCATGCTAACATTATAGAACATAGAACTGTGGTTGTCGTATATATATATATAATTAATATTATTCTGGCAGCCAGTAAGTTACAATGTGAAGATTCATGTTTATTTGAAATGTGCCAGTAAACGTGAACTGTCTGATGTAACTTTATATGAATGCAGTGTAGTATTAATAGACAAATACATGTAAAGTATAATATATACTGAACGTAATCTATGTTTAAATGTTATAACCAGCTGCATTAGAGCTGGTTTCACTCTTTATTTATTATTGGGTGGTTTAATTAACAATGCTGTGTTTTTTATATGCTCATTATAGGTGAAAGACTTGTACTTCCATACTCGTATAATGAGCGTATTTGTCACAGAAGTTAAAGGTTAAGTAATACTTTATTGGGAGTATATAAGCTCAAATACAATGTCCTTTATATAAGTCAACATAGCATACTTCATATACCAATACATGTGTCATAAATGACCTTGTACATATACATATACAGAGATAAAGTGACAGTTGAATTATATTCTGGGCATAAAGCACATCTCATGTTTATATTCACTATATATTTACAGACGGAGAATAAAAGGCCGACAAACAGCAGTCAGCTAAAGGGAGTCAAACATTCTTCATTTCATTATTTAACAACAGATTAATACAGAAAGAAATCAGGTAGAAACATTTACAAAGGTTAGAAATTTAGATTCTAATATTTTCTTTTTTTAACAGGTGAATCTGCCTGAGACCCAATTTGGGTTTCAACACATAATAATAATAATAATAACAATAAAGCCTATTTTAATAAGTGATGAGCTTTTTTAAAGGAATCTGATGAGCTTTTAGTAGATTAACTGATTGGTCAGTGAAGCTAAAGTAATCATTCACTCCTGCTAACATGTTAGCATCCAGCTAAAAACACTTAAAGTCCCAAAAGTTCTTTAATGTTTTATGTTTTATAACTTTATATTGTTTTTCATGTGTGCACAAGATTTAAAAAATATCTTTTGGGACTTTGTGCCATGCTAATGTGTTAGCATAGCTTTTACTAACGAGGTGTATTCTCAAGTTAAAGCATTTAGTGCTAAATTTAAGTTTTAGTCCACATAGTTTATTTTAAGTGTTAGCATGGAGCTAACTGTCACGCTACATTCAAATGCTTTTAAATTGAAAAAACGAAACTAATCAATAAAGAAAGTGTATGCTAAAGTGCTATCTTAGCGGCTACTATCAGTGTGCTCCATGCCTGAATGAGAGCTGACTGATTTATTTATGTGTCGGATTAAATGAATGTGGCTCACAGAAGTATTATTTGAGCTTCAGCATTGAGTCAGACGCCACATTAGCTGTGCGTCAACGTCGCTGCCTAATTGGAACGGGCAGAACAAATACAAGTAATTATAACGATTAGATTTCAAATATTTAAAGGTTGATGACATTGAGTTGACCGCGGTTATTTAATCTGAACATTAAAGTGCTTTAATCCAGATCGTATCCAGTGTCAGCCGGTAATAACTGTGGGTGTAAACTGACCAACGTGATGATCTACCACAAACTCAGAGGATTCCTCCGAAGCAGCCGCAGTGTTCCTCCGACTGCAGCGCCTCCTAGTGTCCAACACACACATTACAACAGCATGCAAACCAAAGCACGACATCATCATCGTCTCAGAGATACAGGAGGTATACGGACACGGTACGCTAACACTGTCCCATCATGCAACTGTTATATGTTAGTGTCTCTGTTAGTGTGTGTGTTCAGATAATGTACAAACGTCCTGTGATCAGTTTTGATTGATTACATATTGGAGTCCGTCATTTAGAAACCACAAGCTAGCAGCTGTTAATTATTACCCAGGTAGCCCAGAGCTCAGTCCAACAGTGCACTGCAGACGGTGCCAGACAGCGATGAGGAAACTGTTCATTGATCTGAAGTGTTTGGAAACATCTTTAATGTTCGGTTCCAACTGTAAGACTTGAAATATTTGTGCTGTAAATGTGCCAAATGTTCTGATCTGTGGTTCTGGTCCACAAGAAGAGGATGATCCTATTCTTAACAGACCTTTTCTACAGGAGATAGTCGGGTAAACACAGTTTCACAACAGCAGCCCCCTGATGGATCAGTATCAGTATCTCTGGATGACTCCTGTGTTTACCCTACTATTTCATGTCTGCTGTGAAGAAGGCTGACTGGAGCCAGTCTCTGAGCTCAACAGCAGAACTATTTGTGCAGCAGGTCAGAAAGCAGTCGGTTGATCCGTGTGGCTACCTGGGTCGGTTCCTCCACGAGGAGATTCACCCGTCAGGGAGCAGCTTTGTCCGAATATTTCAGCTTATTTATAATATATAAGTTAAAACATGTCTGTCTGTCTGTCTGTCTGTGTGTGTCTGTCTGTCCACCCTTCACAGCACCATGGTGGGTATGTGGTGAACCAGAGATGCCGGGTGAGGCATGGCGGTCAGCTGTGGTGGGTGAGGAGGAGGTGAGTGAGCTCCGTGAACCACCACGCTTCCCGCCGCGGCCCCAGCGTCTCCGGTGGGCCGGTGCCTGGCGCTCTTCTGGTGCGCCCGCAGGCCGGCCAGCTGCGAGTACGCCGACTGGCAGACGTGGCACTTGTAGGGCCGCTCGCCGGTGTGCAGCCGGACGTGGTTCCTCAGCGTGGACGACTGGCTGAAGCGGCGGTTGCAGAAGCGGCAGAC